ATCACTGCTGTCATTTGATGTTGGCTCGTGCCAAATATGATGGGTCAACTGTTGCAGGTGTTGGTCTCAGTGGCTTGATCTTCACCAGCTAAGGTCTTCTTCAGGGTTAAAAGCCCCAGGTATTTATTACTCTTTTTTTTTGTTGTGGAACCAGGGATTGAGCTCAGGCCCTTGCGCTTGCCAGGGAAGCACTCATTCTACTGAGCCATCTCCCTGGCCCCTGCTCTTTCATTGAAAGTGGCTTCTTTGTTCATACAATTCAGGAATCCTAAGATTTACAGGACTGTGTAACCCACACTATCTGAGAAATCACAAGCAGACTTACAGGACCAACAGAGCAAGACTTTTATTTTAATAGGTCCTGTGCAGCAACAACACAAGGTAGTCAGTACACCAGATGGAACCTTGAGACTAAACCAAGAAATGTGAGTTGGGCAATGCGGCACGCACCTGTAATCCCCGTACTCAGTAGGCTGAGGCAGGAGGATCTTTAGGAGTTCAAGGCCAGTTTGTGCTACATAGTGAGACCCTGTCTCAAAAACAAAATAAAGAAAGAAACATGAGGGAAGGAGCCGGGGAGATGGCTCAGTGGAATAAGTGCTTCCCTAGCAAGCACAAGGGTCTGAGTTCAATCCCCAGTTCTGCCAAAAAAAAAAAAAAAAAAAAAAAAGAGAGAGAGAGAGAGAAAGAAACATGAGAGGAGGGCTCCTTATATAGTAGGGATAAGCAAATGCTTGTCTCAAATTCAGACCTACTGATTAGTATATGTGTAGTCCTGTGATTGGTTCAAGTGGGTGAGTAGGGATTGGAGTGTCCAGGACAACCACAGCTGCCAAGGTAGATTCCACAGAGGGTAGGGCAGTGACAGCTGTTTGACTGATGGCCATCACATCTCCATGAAAAGTGGTGGGACTGCAGTCTTTGGGAAGGCTGCGTACACCACAGCTTATTAGTGTTCAGGGAGGTCAAAAACCAACCTGGGGGGGCAGGGTGATACTGGATACTGAGACAAGAGGCAAGTTGTCCCAGTTCATTCTAGGGAAGGAAGAGCAAAGGGAAGGAACAAATTATTTGTCAGATCTCAGCCCTTCTGGCTGGCACAAGAGATAAGAAAGGGGAGCATCAAGGGCTTATGTGTCTCACAAGGAGAGAAGCAGCAGAATACTGGAAGGAGGGAAATTGGAAAGTTTGAGTATTTATTCTTCTAGCTCTGTCCCTGACAGCTGTGAGCTGGCTGTCTCCCTTTCCAAACACCTCCTTAATCTAAAACACCCTCACCACTTTCTTTGAAGAATGCTTAACTGTGGTATCCCTGTACTTATCTACTCATGTTCCCTTTAGCCCATTTTTCATATGACAAGCAGATAGCTCTCTGCAAAATGCAACATAGGCATACTGCCTCTTGCTTAAAATTCTTTCAGTGCTCTTCAGGGCTCTTAGAATACTGGCAGTGGGCTGGGGAGATGGCTCAGTGGAATAAGTGCTTCCCTGGTAATCACAAGGGCCTGAGTTCAATTCCAGTCTCACAAAAAAAAAAAAAAAAAAAGAATACAGGCAGAATTTTTTAATTTGCAGTGCTATGGATTGAGTATTAGTGACTTGTACATGGGCAGGCATTCTACCATGAGCTATACCACCAGCTTAAGGCTAAGGACCTGACTTTGGCCTTGCTTGCCTCAGCAGTCTTGTCTCCTGTGCATCTCACTTTGCTATGGCTTTTCTGGCTGCCTTTCAGTTGCCCCATCATGAACCATGCTTCTTTCTACCACAGAACTGTTGACCACATTTTCATCTGCCTTTGTTGTGGAACTGGGGATTGAACCAGTGCCTTCTCACTGAATTATATTCCCAGCTCCCCTCCCTGTTTAAGAGACACTTGCTAAATTATCAAAGTGGGATTTGAATTTAAAATCCCGTGCCTTATCCTTCCAAAACTGCACCCTCTTTCTGGAATATTTTATACACTCTTTCCTAAAGGTAGCCTGTAAAGTAGTCAGGCCTCCTGTCAAATAGAATTTGTGGAAAGCCTTGTATTTGGGCCAGGTACCTGCACTGGGTGCAATCCAAACCAACATAGGGTTTAATCACAGAGGCTGCCTTTGGTCTGCTTCAGGCCTCGTAGACAATTACCCAGTTAAATGGTAACCAATCAAATGGTTGAGTAAGCTGTTATCAATTCACTTCTGTATAATTCTTTCCCATTTTTCAATAAATATGCTGTCTGATATCATTGCTGATTGGTGCTTTAAGAACTTGCTCTGGTTTGGAGAGCTGCCCAAATCATTTTTTGTTTGCTTGCTTAACTTTATTTTGTGTTTTCATTTTTATTTTTCTCAAATAAACTCCTTCACATAATTGGCCTGAGGAATTTTCCCTCACTAAGGATCTTTCCAACATAACTCTGGTCAGAGTTTCTATGGAATTTTCCCTCACTAAGGATCTTTCCAACATAACTCTGGTCAGAGTTTCTATTTACTCGTCAAACATGTAGTACCTTGCTCTGTGTCTACCACATAGTGTGAAATCGAGTATTTGAGTACTAAGAAATGAAAGCAATGGAGAAAGTCGGGTAGAAACAGAAAGAGCTGAGTTATTTTTATCCCTTCTCTCTATGCTTCAAAAGCTAGCACAATGAAAATGATTCTAACTTGGTCCAGAGTCTCAAGTCCTTCTCTAAAAAGTAAAAGCCATTAAAACAGGACAAAACTACACCTATATTTCCTTTCAGCTGGTCCAACAAGATGTTTTATACAGAATGTGCATGGCACAAGAAATATTTTAGATGTGGAATACCTACTTAACTTCCTAGAATTCTTCTCATTCTGAATTCCTGTTTTTTTTTTTTTTTTTTTTTTTTTTTTTTTTTTTTTTTGAGACAAGGCCTCTCTATGCTGTTCAGGCAGCAAGCCTTCAATTCACTATGTAGCCCAGGCTGGCCTTGAACTCGCAGTGAGCCTCCCACCTCAGCCTCTTGAAAACTGGGATTACAAGTGTGTGCCCCCATGCCCGCCAATTCATCTGTTTTTTGTTTTTAAAATTTTATTTATTTTTTGATACTGGGTCTCACTATGCAGTTTGGACTCATAATGATCCTCCTGTCTCAGCCTCCCCAGCACTGGGATTACAGTTGTGTGCCACCATAACCGGTTTTGGTGGCCAGCAAGGCACACCCGCAACCGGTAAGGCATGTGGTACTGGGGACTGAACCTGGGTCCTTGAAGTTGCCAGGCAGACGCTAAGACCGCTGAGCTATCTCCCCAACCCAACTCATCTATTTTTGAGGGCTTTATGGATGAAAAAATCAGCTTCAGGCAGATAAAAGTGGAAATTTAAGGAAAGGATAAAGTTGCAAGATTGAGAGCTTTCTGGAAAGAAAAGTGTCAGCACTAAATATAGCTTAGTAGGACAGAGCAACATATTATTTTTAAAATTTGTCTTTGCAACTTGCCATCCTTTGACCTACACTTTAAATTGCAATACCACTTAATCTGTGACAGATGGGTGACTTTTCTTTCCTATTTGCTTCGATTTTCGTTAAGCATTTGAGCTTGAAAAACGCTATAAAGAACTAGTAATTACCCCAACTTACCCAATTGGACTGCTCCCACTTCAACCCGCCCCCAGCCTAGGACAGCATGCAGCTGCGCAGACCTCTCCCGCCCCAAGTAACGCCCAAGTGGGCTAGACCATGTACAGACAGGGAAGTGATTCCACGACGCTTCATGTTTAGTTCCTTTAAATATTTGCGGCCCTAAATCCCATGTAGCCAAAATATTTTTCAGATAAAGAGTAACAAATGAAAGTTTCAGGTTAAGAATCACGTGGCTATACGCACACCCGCTCGTCCATTCTCTCTTGGCCGCTCTCCTCCCACTTGAAGTGGTATCTTCCGACCACGACTGGCGCGTTTTTTCTCCTGCGTGTGCGCGCGCACCGCCTCGCCAAGGAAGGAGGAGTTAGGCTTCGCTAAAGTCTCTTTCCCCACCTCCCAGTGGGCCGGGTGCTCAGCTGCGCCTCTGAGCTAACAGCCCAAGATAGTAAGGACCGACAGCCGTTCGTCAGTAGGGGAGGGTTAGGGAATAAAACACCTCTCCTGGCGACGTGAAAGCTAAAAACCAGGAGTTCGCACAGCTCAGCGTCCTTGCGCGGCCGCCGCGCCAGGACAAGAAGGCTCGTGGTGATGGAGGCTCCCGAAGGTCAGGGTTTCAATAACCAGGTCCAGAACTTGGCCCACACTGCGGTCACTGTCTCGACCCTCCAGGCAGAGCGGAACGCCTTACCGGACCGGCGGACTCGCTTCAGTCCTTGGTCCACCAACTGGTCAAACACGCCCACCTCAGGCCGGAAGTCCCACGTGGCCCCCGGCAAGATTTCTGACCGGAGCCCTAACCCTGACCCCAGGACTGGTTTCAGGGGCTTCGGTGCCGAAGGCCAGCGAGGGCAAAGCCCAGTGCCTGCCTCTCGTTCAAGTGCCTCACTTGGGGTCGCCCTGGCTTCCAGTTGTAACCGTGGCGCTAAGAGCTGCCCAGGAGCAAAATCTGCTTTTTCCTTGAGGTCCTCTGGGATGTCGCTCTAAGGCTCTTCAGAGGCATCTTTACCTAGCTTTGCCCAAGAGTTGATGCTAAGTTCTTCCTCGACTTCAGTTTCCAGCGCACCCGAGGGACTCTACAAGAACTCACCCAGAACTTAATGTCTTGCCCTCCTCGCCGATTGGCGCCAAGACTTCCTACACCTAGTTACTATTCCCACCGGTCTGTACAGATTCCTCCTATACCCAGTTTTCCCTTCTGCCCCTCAGCACCAGAGCGCCACACGGCCAACTATCCTTGGATAGCGGTAGCTCTGCTTTCTGTACGCTATTGTAGCCCTTCCCACGGGTCGGCACAAGGGCTTCCTCCACTCGTTAGCAATCCCAGAGTGACAGTGCAAACGCGCGCCTGCTTCCCCGGGGGAGCTCTACCACGACCAGCCCCGCCCCCGGGCGGTCCCAGAGTGTCAGCACCAGTGTGCGCCCCAATCTCAGGGCCCGGCTCCCCCCTGGTATCTGTAGGAAGATCGACTCCGCCCCTAAACGCTAGGCGAGGGTCAGTGGAAGGGATCGCCCCGCCCTTGGCTGTCCCTACTCTTAAATCTACGCCTGAGAAGAATCTCAGCCAAAGCATGGCGAGTCCGGAGAAAGCAAGTACTGCAGGCCAAATGTTCGACGTAGTGGTGATAGGAGGCGGCATTTCAGGTTAGTGTGGACCATAGTGGTGACCTTAGAGATCCTGGGTGGCCCGGGGGCAGGGACATGCAATATCGCCGTGGTGTTTCTAAGGGTCTCTTCTGCGAGTGAGACTGACAGCTGCCAGGCTCCAGATCTTTCCAAGTGGGAGTGGTGATTGGGTCACTTTTACTGGTGTTGTGAACGGGTGCAGGGAGGGGGAGAAAATAATTTTACTCCTTCTATTAAATATTAATATTTGATTACCTCTTGCTGTGTTACAATTAACACTTTATATTTTCTCAGTCCCCAATAGTCCTGTGAAATAGCATCAAATGTGCCCCCCCCCCACCAAAAACAAGCAAGCAAAGTCTGTGGAGTTTCATTAACTCTTCTGAGATCAGTTGCCTCTCTGGGAAGTGCCTGAACAATTTTCTCTCTGTTAAGACCCTGACTCCTAATTCAGGCTACTTTGGCTCACTGATTTCCCATCCTTTTCCCTGAATCGAACATAAGCATAAAGAATTGTGTCCTAATGAGATACTAATATTAATCTAGTCCTGCTCTTCTTGAAAGAACTTTTCCTTGGAAAATTTGGTAGGTAACAAACAAGGAGGTAGAATCCTTTAGTAAAAAGTAAAATTTTAAAAAATGAGAGAAAAGGGAGCTTTTACTTTCAGCCGACTCCTCCCAGTTTTCTTAAAACTTACAGGAAAGTGTGAGGCATTTTTACTCAAACAATTCTTTTATGAAGCAAGGGTTGAGGGCAAGTCAGGGAGTGCCCTGTCATGTCTTTTCACTAAGAGCTCAGTTACTACCTGTTTTGTCTGCTGGTCCTGGCTTGGGTTTATAGCTAATAGTGATATGTGAGGCTCTTCAGTGTCTTCTTGAAGCCTCATCATGATAGATAAATTGTCACTTATGTTGTGATAATTGGCAAAATGTTTGAAATTTAGGAAATACATCGTGTTTCAGCCCTCCATAGAATCACACACTGACCTATCACTTTCCTTCCAGGTATTAATAATTTTAGAGATTTACCTGTAGGGTCTGATTTAGAAAGAGAAAGAAGAAGGAAATAGTAAATAGGGAGGCCCTGCATGAATCATTTTTATATATGATCCTTTTGAGGAGACTGACCATGCTTATAAATTAATTTTTGAAACAGCTTTTGGTTCGTCCTGTTCGTGATGAACAGTCTTTACCCGTCAGAGAAAAAATTGGCATAGACTGTTGGCTTTGACAGTTCCAACCAGTGCCAGCAAAAACAAGCACATCCTGGTGGAGAGTAAGAAAATGGAGCATTTCCCTTGTTTCCCTTCTTTCATTTACTTATTCATTTAACAAATACTTGCTGGTGCCTGAAATGAAGTGAACTGGTGTTTCCAAAAACCTGATCCTTCTAGGTAAGAATCCTAGAGCAATTTGATTGTTGATCACTGGAAAATAAATATGTTTTTGTGTGGTGTAGATTATTAGGAGTTCTGTCTCCTTTCATTACTCTCCCACAATTCAGGAGTCTTTTTGGGATTTTATTCTTGTCTTTTTCTTGGTTGGTTTCGTATTCCTGAATGAGTTTTGTCTTTTATTTTTCTTCTGCCTGATTACCTGCTCTTTCTTTTACTGTACTTAACTCCTAGTACTTAGTCATTAGCAGAGGTAGATTTAGTATGTTGCATTGATTCTTATGCTCTGTGAACTTACAATTTAGGTCTTTTCTGATTCTCATTCTAAATAATAACTAGTTCCATACTGAATCTTGTATTCACAGTTTTGCTTTCTTATATCTAAAAGAGGGCATCCAAATTGTATAAGGACCCACAAAACTTGGATCTGTACATGGTCATTATGAATAATTATTCATTTCCATTTGGTGGAAATAGAGAACATTTTCTGCATGGTAGTGCATACTGTTATTCCAAGAGCCAGTTTCCAGTCTATTGGTGACAGTGAAAAAAGCACTTGACTTCCTGCTGTCCTCTCATCAGTGAGATCTGAGTGATTTTCATACCAAAAAATGACTAGAAACATTTCTTTCTGTCTGTGATGCCTTCCCAGCTGACTGACCACTAAAAGTAGACGCAAGTATATTTCATGTTAGGTCCTAGACATAAACTAGGCATTTCAGGAGTGGGTCAGAACCATTATTTCTCAAGCATTCTTGTGAAGTCTGCAACACAGTCTTCGTGCTTGGCTTTATCCCATGAGTTACATAATAGTGCCTGTGTCAGTTTTAAATGTCTTTGGATATGACTTTTTGTCAGGAATTCCACACTTCAGTATAGCACCCACACATTTATAATGCCAATACTTTGCACCTGAAGTACTATTCCTATAGTATACCTTCTAAAAAGAACATATTCTGAATGACAGTACTCAAAAATCAGTCAACACTAACAGAATTGTAACTATCCTCACAAAGAATAGCAATGGTTTGATAATATATCCTCGTGTCATCAAAAACATGAAACAGCACACTTATAACCACAAAGCCTTTTTTCTGTCCTCTGGCCAATTAAATTACGTTATATAGTAATTGAGAAGGGAAACAATCCTGATCATTTATTACTATAACAGTTTCTTTATCATACCCTAGCTCCTATCTGTCATTTATCACCCATTTATTTCATTTTATTTTATTTTATTTTATTTTTCCATAATTTTATTGATAAGCAAATAGCAATGAGACAGTCTCAAATCAAATTGGTAGGACTCACCCATTTTTTTTGAAATATTTTTATATTTTCTGTGACACTATTGGATCCAGAATTTTTATCCTATACTCATTGTTCCTTTTCCATTTCTTTCACTGAGCTCATATTCTTTTGAACTTCTAGTTTTGAAATGACCTCAAAACTTTCCTGTTCATTACTTTGGGGCATTTATACATTCCTTCTCTCTTATTCTAGAACTTCAGTGTCCCTTTATTTGTAGAAAGTTTTCAAGGCTCTAATTTGAATCCCTTCCTTTCTCTGAATTCCTGCCCCCATGCCCGGGACAGACTTTGCCCTCTGATTATGACACCGTCCCAGTGACACCCCCCCCCCTCCTTTATAACAGTGGCTTTCCTTTTCTATCCATCCAGCATGCAGTATTCTTCCGTACTTGATTTACCATAAAGACATCTTTTCTTGCTTCACTCTTCTGCTCAGGACCTTCAGTGGTCTGTTACCTGACTCTCAAACCCCCTCTCCCTACTCCCAGTTATTGAGCCTTATTTTGTTGGACTAGTAGCATTTTTCACACTTCTTCAACATGGACTTTACTCACAATACTTCTTGTCCTAGTTCCACACTGTTTATTTGTCCTTCATGCCCTCCCTTTTTTTTCTTTCTTAACATGGAAGTACTTCTCTCTGACTGTTCACATCCAGTTCACCCTGCAATGCCTAGATAAAGATCCTTTCCTTGATTATTCTGGCTCCCACTGATTTGTCTTCTCTGTTGTAGAGCTCATAGTAGCTACTTTACAATTTGTACTTATTTTCTGCCTATTTCTTGATTTTTCTTTTAAGAACAGTAGTTGAACCACTAAGTTTAGATGCTAGTTGTTGTTGTTGTTGTTTTCTTACAAGCTGCCATAGATAGAACAAATAACAGAAAATCTATGATGGAAGATTTTAATATCAGCTCTTGACAGAATTTCTGAAATGGTTCTCTTTAGAGAGATACATGAGGAAAAAAAGAAACCCATCTCCAACGGACAGTGCATACATCCTCCATGGGACTCTTTGGAAGTTCAGAGTCTTTGGGCAAGAAGGGGTTTTAAAAGACAACCTGATGCATTTACCTAAGATTTTAATCTTCCTGACAGCATCTTCTTAGTGGTTATCTGACTATAGATCTGAACACATTTGGGGAAAGGAATGAATACTCTATCCCTCAAAGCAGCTCATAATGAATAGAGAAAGCTCTAGCCTCTGAATTTGCTCAAGTGTTTTAGAGTTTCTACCACATATTAGACAGTGGTAGATCAAAGGGATAAGGTATGTAAAGAAGAATAGGTAGCATCCCTGTCCAGAAGAAGCCTCTATCATTTTAGAAGTAATCAAGTGGGCAAATAATTGACAGGAATACAGTGAGATGAATATTAATATTATGGATATGAACAAAGTGTTGGGACCTTGAAAGAGAATTAGAATTTTAAAAGGTAGGTATTGAGAATGGAAAACAGACATAGCAAACATAAGAGAGCAAAGCATCACTGTCGCCAGGGTGTGGTAAGCCACATAGGAGCAGCACTTAATTTTAACTCATGGCAAAAGTGAAAGGGAAGGAAAATAGTTGCCTCCTATGCCTCTAGAGTGTGCCATATCTGCCCATGATTTTGTGCCTGTATGAACTGTTAGTGGTTGGTGAGTGCACAGTAAAACACCTTAATCATAATGCGGGATGGTCCTAAGTGAAAAAATTTTTCCATGTGTTTTGCAGTTAAATTCCAAGTACCATGTAGAAAGTGGTCTTAGTGTCCAGTGTCTAAGAAATAGAACTACCCTTTATTTTTGTCCATCAGCTGAGCTCTACTAAAAGAATTTAGAGTTTTTGCTGCCCAGAACTCAGTGCTGTATTACAGCAAAGATCGAATTTTTCTCATCATCTGAAACAGAAAAGCCATTCTTTGCCAGAAGAATGACTAATGTTCTGACTTCCACAAATTGAGTCCACAGCATACTACAATTTCCCTTCTTACTGAAATACATCACCCATGAGAATCATTTCTGTAAGACCACTTTAATCTATTTTAACCAAGAGCTTGGCAACACATATTGTGTGGATTTGCAAGATTAAGAAAAGCTTGCATTTTAAAAAAGACACTTATTTTTATGACTTTGTTATTTGGATTCTCTTGGTTCATTACAGGATGAAAATTAACTTTGTACCTTTTAGGACACGTCTACTATTTCCTTATACAAATGATACACCAGTTTTATATTTATTTCATAAAAAATAAACTATGGTATTAGTGCATACACTTTCCCTGCTGAACAACGAATATAAGAATCTTATTTGGGTTTGGATCTTTAAAAATCT